TTTTTTTCTAAAAATCACAATCAGAGCATTACTCGTTTTTTCCCGTAAGTCGAGAATTTTTTTATCTCGCTTCGACGGAAAAGGGTGATTGATGTTCTGATCGTAAAAAATAATTGAAATTTTAAATTTAGGACATCATGGCATCGTATCTAAAAATGATGTCGTTAATGACGCAAATATATTACATCAAAAATATTTTTTTATGAAAAAAAAATAAGAAAAAAAATTATCAATGTTTGCAGCTAAAATAGTCTGTGTGGTGTCTGCAGGGTGTTCCTTTGGAAAGGTTTGTAAAAATGAGAATATTTTAAAGATTTTTTTTTTCTAGTGAAAAATTGTTGCAAATAGATTAACAAACATTAGAATGTTAATTACAGATGGCAACAGCTTTCCGATGTCATCATACGACAATTGCAAGATTGTTCCACAAAACAGATGCAACCGGAAGTATGGTGGACGGGGTATGGACTCCAAAGCAATGGGTGACTCCTAGGAGATATGATAGTCAAATCGTTCTACATTATTTGATTTTTGACCGGGAGATCGTTTCTTTTGCAACATTACTGATCACCATTGGTAACTTCATATCACTAACTTCATATCAGTGCAAAACGGTGCGCAGTGGACTTTCCGAAATTGGTTTTCGGTCAAGAAGGTCATTTGAGGGTATTTTCATAACACCAAGACATTTGCCAGTTCGACTGCATTTGACAAAAAGGCATATTAGATATACAAGAGCCGATTAGGCAAATGTCCAATAAACAAATGAGAATATTTAGTGGTGCGTTAGCAATTTTGTCTAGTGCAGATTCAATCGTTACGAGGGGAAAAACTCAACCAACCAACCGATTTAAAACAAAGGTGGAGACTGGGTCATAATGCAAGAGACACAAGACAAAAAGCAGGAAAATAACATAGTTATTAGATTCATTCATTACACAAAAACCGACCTACCAACAGATTTAAAACAAAAGTGGAGACTGGGGGGGGGGGGGGGGATGCAACAGATAGAGAACTTAAAGCAGGAAGATAAAAAGTGATTAGCTGAAATCCTTATTTTAAATAAGAAAAAAAGAATGGAAAAAAAACAAAAAAAACAAAAAAAAAAACAACAGAAAACAAAAAAAATATATATATATATATATATATATATAGAAAAAGGGAACTAGAGTAGATTTTAAATCGGTTTAAATCAGTTATATCAAATAAACATTTGATTTGAGCAAATGAAAAACATGCAAGATCTGCAAAAGATAGCACTACTAATGAAAACTGGAAGCAGGGACATAAAATTATTTCAGTCATTATGTCTAATTGGGAAGATAACCAGACAGAAAAATACGTCGCCCAAACAACAGTTTTCTGGCTACACAACATCTGCAAGTAGCTTACTGAACCAATGCGGTTGGTCTGCTGCAATATGAAGCCAACCCAGGACCTGAATAACCTCTAATAGTCATTTACGAGAAAAAATGGAGAGAAGTGACGCGGCTCCTTATCTGCAGGACGCTCACGGAAAGCGTGCTTGCTCCAATCCAACCTTTCTCGTAAAATAAAAACGGCAACCACCGGCCCTTTATTGAATATTGCACTCAAAACCTAAACTTATCTCCTGTGAATTGAACATATTTTATTGACAAAGTCAAAAGGATCGGACACAAGTTCAGAAACTTAGATAGTCTTCTCCTAATACAACATTTTGTAAAATTGCCAAATCAAAAAAAACATGTATACATATGGTCTACTACATATACATCGTAGTAATAGAAAGAAAAAAAAGTTCTTTAAGTGTACAAGTATAATTTGAATTGGTAAGAAGAAGAAAAAAAATGAAGGTTATTTTGAAAAACGACCACATTCATTTAAGAAAGTTTGAATAGTCTTGAAAAGTTCAGCATTTTGTTCAATAGTAAGAGATTCATCGCCCCATAGCATTAAATGTACATCTATAACATATAAATAATTAAATGACAATAGCTTATTCATTAAGGAATTCCTTGCTTTTACATAATATTTACAAGCAAAAAACAAATGATATGCATCTTCTAGTAGTCCACAAGAACAATTAGGACTGATTATTAGGTTACAGCGATATAAGTCAGAATTTAAAATCCATTTTTTCTCGTAAATTATGTCTTAATCTTGTATGAATTATGTTCAAAAACCTTTTTCCATATGGAAAATATTTTTGAGGTTTTACAATACTGTTGTGCAGATAGTTTTTAAAAATTTTGATAGAAGTTGCCTCCCTTGTTTTAAGACTAAGGGAATTCCACTTTCTAACAGTATCAGGAATAAATGATTTATTATATAGTTCTAATCTGTATTTTGGCAAAGAATAATTTAAGGAATTCCTCGTAGTGTATCCTGAAATATTGCCTCTTGTATCAGGTACTAGATTTTGTAAATAATTAGGTACTAAATTATTGTGCATTTTATACATTGTTATTAGTTTTGCTCTGTTTCTTCTGTATTCCAATGGTTCCCAACCTGTTTCCAAATATAATGAATTTCTTGAAGCAATAATTGTAAGCCCAGTAACTATTCTTGCAGCAAATAATTGTACTTTTTCAAGATTCTCAATGTCTGTTTTTGTGCATCCAGACCAAACTTCAACAGCATATTCAAGCTGTGGTCTAATAAAAGATATATACATCTGGGATAGAATATCTCTTGACACAGTAAATTTTAGTTTTTTAAGAAGCCCCAGTTTTTTTTGTATGCTTTCTGTATAATGATATCAATATGATCAGACCATCCTAAGTTGGACGACAGAAGTATTCCAAGATGTTTGTGTTCTGTAACATATTCCAATTGGCAATTGTCAAAAATATTTTAGGAAACTGCTGCACATTTTTTGAATTAAAAAATACAGCTTTGGTTTTCTGTGGGTTAAATTTCAATAACCATTTCTTTGACCATTCATCTAGTATTTTAAGACCATGATTAAGATTTTGTTCAATATGATTGATATTATCTGAATATTGTTGTAAGGAATTATCGTCAGCATATAATCTACAAACAGATATCATATTTTCAGTCACATCATTTATATACAATAAAAATAACAAGGGACCAAGTACTGAGCCCTGAGGAACTCCAGCTTTTACATGTCCTACAGAGGAAAAGTGATTTCTATACATGATTTGTTGTGTTCTATTGCTTAAATAACTATCAAACCAATCTAGCATATCACCATTGATTCCATACATTTTTAGTTTGTAAATTAAGCCTTTATGCCAGACTCTATCAAATGCCTTGGATAAATCACAAAACACCATACAACAGAATTTACCTTCATCAATACTTTTTACTATAGAATGGTATGTTTCTAAAAGTTGATATACTGTGGAATGACCTGGTAAAAAACCTGCTTGATATTTATAAAATATATTATGTGAATACAAGAAATTGTATACATGTTTAAAAATGATTCTTTCAAAAATTTTGCTTATACAACTCAGCAAAGAGGCTGGTCTATAATTTGAAGTGATGGAAGGGTAATCTTTCTTAAATAGTGGAAGAACATGTGCTAATTTCCAGCTGTCTGGAAAAGTTTTTAGTGTTAGGGATTTGTTGAATAGTATACACAAAGGTTTTGAGATAGTGTCTTTGCAAGATCTCCTGTTTTGGGTCATTTTTTTTTTTCAATGAATGTACTTCATTATAACTAGAAATATCTTTCAGTTGATGGAGGAAAAATGATAAACAAGAGACCAAAGGACCATTACACTCACATTAGTGGAAGATTCTCCACCTGACAAAGATGTTTTATGTTGACCTAAACGTAACTTTATCTTACAGCACTAATTACTCCCTGATATACAAATCGTACAGGCTTATTTTGATCTCCTGGTATAATTCCACTCTAGCCGCAAGGACAAAATGATAGGAAAAGAATTATATTGGGTTGTTCGTTTTTGATTTGGGTTATATTTGTCCTCTTGTCATAGAAAAAAAAAGATTTTTAAAGAATCTTCTTATATGTTCCAATTGTTACAACGTACTTTGAAAAATTACGCACTTTGAAATTTTTTTTCAAAATGCATTAAATTTGGGACCAAGTTAACGCACTTTGAACAGAAAGAAATCTTTTCAAAGTGCTTTAATATCGACCATATAAACTCACTTTGAAAACGAATGAGCACTGCTTGTTCAATATTCTTGCTTTTAAGTATGATAAATAATTATTTCAGCCTGGTTGGATAACTTTTTGGTGATCCAACTTTTTGGTGATGACGTCACTACAGGATCTGAGATTTAGACGTTTTAAAGATATTTAGGGGTTGTCTTGTTCTCACTGTACTCGTAAATATTATAAAAGGCAAATGGGTCTTTTAGAAATAATGGAGGAATGATTGTTTAATAGCAGAATTTTATAAAAATTCAATGTACTAAGGACTTCCTTATACATTTTACTATATTCAGAAGTTTCTTTTTTTTTTTTTTAAATATTCCCCTTAGGGGTAGGAGAAATGCGAGAAAAAAAAGAGGTCCAAGTTTGTATGCTCATTGAAAATAATTTTCCCGCACAATGTGATGATCCTTTTATAATTATTTACTAAGTATTTAAATGTAGAGGTATGAAAAAATGTTTATTCTCGCACAATATGATTTTTTTTTTAAAAAAAAATGTTTGATGAATAGGTTTAAGAGGTATGAAAAAAATTATTTATGTATTTATACTTTATATATATATATATATATATATATATATATATATATATATATATATATATATATATATATATTGGATTTGTGTTGTATTTGAATTAATTTGTAAAGCTACTTTGGCCAAAGTATAGTCAGTTGGCTATTGTTGCTTAGATCAGTGATATGGTCCATGAACCTCTCTTCTTTAATATAATAAGGTGCGTTATTATTTTTTATAGGAAAGCTTATCTCAATTTTTCATTTATTTTACATTAACTCAAATTTATTGAGAGAAAGTATATCAATGTCATACCAGGTATGTAATTATATATACTTGGGTAGGAAAGATAAAGAGTTGGGCTGAGGGACTTCTACCTGTCTTCTCCTAGTTCTCGATGAGGGTATATCAATTCATCATTTTTTCGAAAGAAATATAACAAAATAATGCTGTCTATTACTAAAATTTAAGTTCAGAATTTTTGTTTTATACATATTTTTCAAAGTGCCTTAAGTGTGTCCACGGTAACAAAATGTTGATGTACACTTTTAACGCAAGAGTCCCAAATTTAACGCACCTTGAAATTTTTTTTCAAAATGTGTTGATTTTGTTCCAATTTTAACGCACTTTGAAAATATTTTTCAAAGTGCGTCATTTTCTCAAAGTGTGTTGCCACATCTTACCCATCACCTCCCCAAATCTTGTATATCCACCATGAGATCTCAGCTACTTTCTATTATTTATTTTGATTCAACTTGTTACATTATTTTGAAATCTAATAATATTGTTTGTAACATTCTATGATTTGCAATGCATTGCTTGGCCCTGTTGTTCGCCATCTTTTTGCTTTTATAAGCTTTTGAACAATTTTTCGAAGTTTGTGATTGAACTTATCTGTATTATTATTATTATTATTATTTGTAAAAATATTGTTTTTTTTTTGGGGGGGGGGAGCAGGATAAATGTGATGAAATTTTATGTAACGAGATGACAAAATGTTTGATGTTTGTTGATTTCCCTCTTTTTTGTGAATCCAATAGTTCGTCATTTGTTATTTGAAATAAATGACATATTACATTCCCAGACAATTTTTCCTGTTGTATATGTCAGTTTAAGCAAAAGCAAGCTTCGGTGAGCTGTTTGTAAGGAAAACAGTATAAGACATAAAGAACTTTTTGACTCGCTTCCTTGAAACCATATTCTTAAAGATTATTCACAAGTTTTTTAAAGGAATTTAGTGGAGGCAAAAGGTAGACTATATGATATGTTGTCATAAGTTAAAATCAATAAAGACATTCAGTTTAAACACCTACGGATATGTAACAGGTACATTATGCTGATTTTAAATTTACACTCCCATCGAGAGATTGGTTTATATCAGTATAGTACAACATAATTAAAATCACGAGCACTGTGCATAATATACAGATTTACATTTGAAAGAAACAAGCCACTTATTCACAACACAAACCGGTGATTTTTTTGATAGATAAATACAATTGTAATTTCAGAATCACAAATAAACCAAAGGTCAAAAATCCACTTTGAAAGCACAACGTGGTCGGCAAACGGAAACAGAGAACTTTATCTCATCGGTTGCAATGTAAAGTACGTGTTCTGGTCAATACTTTCAGGATTTGTTTTTAATTTCCATTTTTCTTCCTCTGTCAAGCAAACACTATCGTAATGATGATTATTTGCACTCATCACTCGAGAGTTCGAACGCGTGTTAGTATTGTTCCAACTTCTGTTTTCTACAGTTGAATGGTTCGTGAGTATTTCGGTTTGATGTGTAGTGCTGCTGATCTCATTGTTTTCTGTCTTTAGTTTAGGATGCTGAGGTGGAAGTCTGCAACTAAATATGAATGGCAAGTTTAATTGTTATATCACATTTGTTTGAAAATAAAAAAGATAAAGATAAATTAAGGATAACAAGTTTATATGTACTATATTTTGTACTATTATTTACAATTATTATTTATTTGGGTACTTCACAGTTTTAGTAAAATGCATTTTTTATGAATCAGTTTTAAACATAACAATCTTATATAGCATACTTCTTTTTCACTTTTCTTAGAAACCGTTTTACTCTGCATACAATTTTTATCAGATGATATGTTTACGCAATTCATGACCAAATATTGCTTCAATTTTTTGTCTGCTTTTTAAGAATGACTTCTTTTCTTTATATTCTTCTGTGAGCGTGAATTCATTATCAATGTGTTCGCTGGACATAACTTGTCTTTTACTGTGGAGGGTAACAAATCGGGAATCAAATTTACAAATTTGTTAGGTTAGAGGCAAAACAGTGTTTTTGTTTGAACAGAATCTTCAAAAAGACATCTTAATAAAGTATCAAAGAGAATTAAAGCTTGAAATTCTCTGTTTGGATGACTCTGTCTCAATGAGAAATCTGGTATATTGATATGATAATGACACTTTCTGACTAATGTACAAAAACATTCATTTAATTTTTGTGCATTTAATGTAGAGGAGGACAAATAATAAGTTTTAAGAGCAGGATGCATCAATTACGTTACACTTGCATCAACGGAACATACCACTTCAACAAAAGTACTGTAAAACAGAAAACGAGGAGTAGAATCTGAGATCCTCCAAGGATTAACACCAGCTTTAGTAGAAGTGTACAGCTTTCGTGGTGTATTGGAAAATCCAGAACAGTCTGGGTATCATTATTCCTAGTATCTGCAGAGTAAACAATTAAATTTGTTTCTTATTTTTTATTATATTTTTACATGACATTCATCAGGACTTTGATTTCTGGTTTCCGTTATAAATGAATACATTTTTATGCTTATAGCTGGTATTCAGATGTTCCTTTTTAGCTAATGATTATAAAAACAGTAAGTAGTACTCATGTGATGTGGCGATATATCATATTAAATATTAACTTCCTTCTACCAAAAGTTTTACTTCTAACAAAGAACTTTTTAACAAAAAACAAAAAATGAACTTTTACTGGTTATGAAACAATTCTTGCTGACCCTCCCCCATATATATATATATATATATATATATATATATATATATATATATATATATATATATATATATATATACATATAATATATTGTAAAGACTGGTTGAGTAATGAGAAGGTAAGTTATAATTATGTCAGTAAAATTACTAGAGTGTTCATAATTCATAATAAATATCTTACACATAATTTGGAGATATCCAAATATGGATGACATTATTACATTACATAATAAATATTTTACATATAATTTGGAGACATCCAACGTATGGATTACATTCTTCATCCTCTGTGCAATTACACATCGAATCACACTTCACACCGTAATAATTGGATGGACACGGGGTCATGCAGTTTTCTCCAATAAAACCAACACACTCTGGCAAATAAAAAGAACTCCCCGTTTTGTTCTGACATAAGTACATAAAGTTTAAGTTTTTTCATTAGTTATCAAAAATAAATATGTTGTTTAGGACAGGATTGCATGCTATAAGTAGTTGCTAAATGAAATTACTTACATGTATTAATTTTATTTTGTATGTGTTCTTTTTCAGTACATAGACACCTTTGAAAAAGATCTTTTTAATTCCTTACAAAACATGTCAAATAGATAAAAAAAAAAAAAATAAAGATCCTTACCTGTACAAGTTTTGTTTATTTTTCTGTATCCAGAACAACATTTTTCTTGGTTTCTAAAAATAAAAATGTCAGAGAGTCATTCGTCCGCAAAGGACAAGATATGGTAACGGCCCAATCTGGCCCCTTATTTGATGTAAAAATCAGAACACAGTTAAAATTGTGATAGTTTGTAGTTAGGAACTTAAAATGATGCTTGTTTTAAAACCAGCACTAATTTTGATTTAAAGCTTACAAGAAGGCCACAAGAGGGTGCGGAAGTAGGCCAATCTCCCAAATTTCCTCAGTTCTGGTGGAATTTCGTCAAATTTGAGATACTTTTCACAAAGAGCACCAGCTTGCCTATCTAAGATTTTTATACATAAGATGCATCTGATGCTAGTGTATGAAATATATAAATTTGGCAGATAGGCAAGCTTGTGCTCTATGTTTTCTGAAACAAAATGTGTTGTAAAATCGATGAAAATTTGCATAAAAATAAGAAAATTCGGAAAATGGCATATTTTCTGACCTTCCTGTGACCTCTGTGTATTCCATAACTTAGAACCATTACTTATTTTGTGGCATTGGTGACAACAGGTTTTTATTGATAAACTGTTGCATCATTCTGAAAGACACCCCAAACCGGGAGCCAAAAAGGGGTCTTAGCCTATCTTGTCCTTTATAATATCAAACATAAATGATTGTTAAGTTACTTACTCGTTTGTTGGACATAAAGAACTGTCATTGCGCTCTCCGTATGAAGTCCCAAGAAAAAGAATAAGATAGATAAACCTTGCTGGTTCCATTTTTGCTACCTCCATGGTGAAATAACCTCTTTTCTTGTATGCATCACTTAAATCACTTATACATTCAAGCAGATTTTTAACATCCGTTCTTCCTTCCAGTCTAGATTATAGGTTGAAATTTGCTGTAAAACGGATGCATGTAAGCAGAAAAAATGTTAACAAATATGTGATTTTTCCCAAAGAAGTGTCTTTTTTAAAATCAGATCAGTTCTCTTTTTCATATTGAGAAAAACATCAATAATGAAAGAGAGGATTTAGGTAAAGTGTTCATTATTGGCAGGATGTGACGTTTTTCAGGCCCTCAGAGTTTTTCAAAATCACATATGAGTCTTTTTACACTTCCCCAGTAAAATTTATAATACATAGACGTAGCCTCCTTAAGTACTTGATTATATCAAAGGACAATGATTGTAATACTGTTCAGTGCGTGACAGCACGAGTTTATTTTATTTTTTAAACTTAAGGCAGTGGGAGTATACAATTGCAGGTTTTAAACTGTCAATTATGTTTCCTCGTATACCGATATATATATATATATATATATATATATATATATATATATATATATATATATATATATATATATATATATATATATATATATATATATATATATAATCACTATCTATACATTATAGAATAATACAATACTACGTATGCTATGAAGGGGAGGATTAAACATATTTATACATTTCTTTTCAAATCTTGTTTTTTGGTAAGAGTTAATGGTGTTTAACAAAAGATTATTCCTTTTCTTTAAAAAAAATAAATAAAGGAATGTTCTTTACAAAATAACAACGAATATGAAATTATTATATTTCAATACTGAATTATTAAAACAGAACACGATTAGGTAGTTATAATAAAAAATTTCATTTCGTTTCACAAAATAAAACGTCGTACTCAAATCAGGAAACGGAACTGTCTCGTTCAATAAGTAATGCACAATAACGGTTTATCATAGTAAATGTAGAAGTACTTAATTTTATTATTTCACACTCGAGAAGTACTATTTAAGAACTCATTATCACCGAAAACCGTATGCTTTTTCCTACAGTCTTCGCAAAGAAATTCACTTTTAAAGTAAGCATGGTCACTACACTGAGGTGAGAACTGTTTAATTAAATATGGTCTCTGCCAAGAAGATGAAAATGGGGGCGTATGTAAAATATGTGCTTCATTAAAAAATCGCTCAGGAACCAATATGAACGATGTAATTTTGATATCTGGAAAGACAAGCCTTTCAAGCTGCACAGTCTTCAGATGGATTAAGAAATCCAAAAAATGAAAAAGAAGTGTGACAAGATTGCTGTTGAAGTGGTCAATAAAAATCTGTAGGGACCTAAAAAATGTCGATGCTGTGAGCAACATATGATATCTGTAAATACCAGATTTACAGTGAAAGACATTGCCAAGACACTTAAAATTTTATCACCACAAAAGTTTATAGAGTTCTAATACACTAAATAATTCAAAACCATAGTTCTGACAAGGAAAATATGAATCTAAAAATATTTCTATATCAAAGGGTGCATATTTTTCCTTAACTTGCCTAAGAGAAAACATAGTTACGTTAAATGCGCCGATGGTCTATCAAAAATATACATTATTACAAAAGAAGATGTGATAAACTTGTGTAGTGTTTGTCAAAACATTGGTTCACTTTTAATTGCATAAAAGGAAGAACAATAATTAAAAGTGGAATCAGGGAGAAAGTTGCCGTCTTATCATCGCAAAGAGAAGCCAGAGTTCCAAACATGTCTTAAATAAGTTTTCTGTTTTGTCGAGAGGTCTTGTAATAAATGAAGCTACACCGAAAGGAAGGACCATTAGTGGTAGTTTTTATGTTAAAAGGACTTTGAGGAAAGTTCAGCAGGTTATATTCTGTGAGGGAAGTCCAAATACCGATCCCCGGGTTAATTTCCTTGTGTCTTACAACGCTGCTGCAAATAACAAAGAGCTGTAAAGGGAATTTTGAAGAAATGAACGTTTACAGAGCTTTGCCTTCCTCCGCATTTGCTAGATTTCAGTCATTGTGAGATTTTTTTTATTCCAAAATCTTAAGAAAACAATCAAAAGGAGGACTTTACAATTTTAGGTAGGTCATCGAGAGTGCTATTCATCAGTGTCTTTTCTGCATCTCTGAAAAAGAGAATGCTGAGGTGTTCTGACCATGGGTACAAAGAATTTAGACATATGTAAAGGTTAACAGGGAATACTATGACAGATTGAAAATATGAATATTAAAAAAAAACTGCTTCTTGAGCTTTTCTAATTTTAAGAATGGCAAATCTCATATGAGAAGACATATTTGTTTTTAAATTTCATCTCATACAAGTTACAATTTACATACATCAAAAAAGAATCCGTTTTGACTATTTTTTTTAAAGAGATCTCCTTTATATGTTCCTACAAGTATGTTAAATGATATGCCTGTAATGAGACCCTTGCGTTATATGTAACATAAGGGATCCTGATTTGAATAAACTTCAATTCATATGTCTATGAAAATGTGAAGATGAAATTGTGACCTGGAGCTAAGATGTAAAAAAAAAAAAAAAAATTACATGAACATGAAGAAGCTTGCCAGAGATGAGGTTGTTGAACTAAGTTATTATGATTTGCTGTAGTTAAAATAACTTTTAAAGTCATTTAGTGAACACAAAACAGAGACATAACAACTGTATGTCTGCGTTTGTTAAGAATTCTGAAGATGTTTATCAGTGTCCTAGAATTTCAGACAACAGCACACAATTGCAGTCAATCTATACAGAAAGAAGAAAAATCATACCTCAGAGGTGGGATCAGGTGTCATGAAGGAGCAAACATCCCCTGTCGACAGGTCACACCCGCCGTGTGCTCATTGTCATGATCGAACAAACGGAAAAATTCATAGACAATTCGATTTTAAATAATGGCCTAACAATTAGTATGAAAAAATGTCAGTCAGATTTCAACCTAATGATAAATAGTATTTGCTGACAAGGTCATTGTACTGACCATAGAACTTGCGAAATGATGATTTTAAACGAGACTGTTGATATCTTTATTTCATCAACTTGTTTGTCAATAGATTGCCTCGTTTTAGAAATTGTTTGTTTGTTTGTCGAAATTGTTGAAAATTAATATTCTTAATTCATTAATGTTCATGCCAAACTAAAGAATATAGAAAACTTCTTCTTTTCAGTATGTTTTTAAATAAAATTCTGTTTCGTAACATAAAAACATTTCGACTAAAATTGGGCACAATAAGTACCTACAGGTTAAAAAAACCCAGAACATTAGAAGACCTGGTCATTAAAGACAACAAAAATATTATCAATAAATGTTTTCATGGGGGATGGTTGTATGAAATAGGAAGAAATAAGTTTGCATTTGGCTGATTTTGGAGAGCTTTTTACCATTTCAAATTTCAGTACCTACATTTAATGAACACCACATCTTCTCGAATGTATTGTACAGAACTTCTGAAGTTTCTCCTCACTGTTGTAACTTTTTCGTGAGAAGGAAAGGTTATTTTTTGATAGAACATCGACTGGATCCCGCTATTTATCACATTTTCAACAGTGAAATACTGCTAATTGTTTATTAAATGAAAGTGATATTTTGTCGCTGTGTGAAAGAATATCAGAATATCTCGATTTTTCTTCCATTCACAAAGAGTGTCGTTAAAAATATTCCCTGGCCTGTTGTGTGTGTGTGTGTGTGGGGGGGGGGGCGAGGGGGGTAAATAAACCATCCTGACAGAGACAAAATCTGTCGAAGTTTTTCCATATATGTGGTTGAAATCTCTGTTTACATTGTTTTCGATCTCACAATCTCTTAGCTATGGGTCTCAACCGCTCAGCTATGAGTCACCGTTTTATGATATGATGTTACAAAAAGACAGTATTGGAGACCAAACAGAAAAATGTAGTAAACAGAAAATTATAATTAATACCAGATATATACGTTCATGAAAAGCATAACATGTATTTTACAAAAACTTTATGTGGTTGAATGTTTATCAAAAATAATGACAGTAATTTGCAATTTAATTAATAACATATGATTGAGCCCATGACAAAAGGGCCTTATGGCAATTTTGCTAAAACAGAGAAATAACGTCATAAAGATATGACGTTGCAGACGGTGAGCGTCGACGCAGATTTTTTTTATCCGGGTGTTTTACGTTTTGACACGTCTAGCTCACTTTTGTCGTTGTTCTCAACTTTGAAATAATTATTTATTTTCATTTATATCTTTAATTCACGTCTTGATCTTCTAGTCCACTGATATTAATTAATTATTTAGAATTTTATTAGAGACCCGTTTCTTTACTGCATGTTATTGTACCTTTATACGTCTCTGATCTGGGCTATGCATTTCCTTACTCCTACAAGTAAGAGCCTCGGTTAACGTCCCTACGCTCCTTATATACCTCAGCGCCAAGTCAAAAAGTATCTCGCCGTGAACCTCTAGCATGTTGGAGTATGCATTTCCTATACATGTATAGAAGCTTCAGACAAGGCGATTTTCTGGATAATTGAATATGGATGAACGAATGCGATTTTGATATACAGACAAATTGAAGTTATTTGTTAGACACGGGTATATTATCAAAATATTGCAGAGGAAATCGTTTTCCTGTGTAAGATCCGCCCCACCATTCTCAACACATCGATCAGGTAAACATTGAAGCATTAGTACATCGTGCATAAATTTTTGTTGTAAAATGCTTTAATTGCCAAAATTTGAAACTGATCACACTTCTTTCAACAGAAAATTAAGAAAAGTATTCTTGTAAGTTTTCAAAAAATCTAGCAAAAGAGACGTGATATTATTTTTAAGAACTATAAATAAAAAGAAGAGGGGTAACTCTGACAAGCGAGATACTAGAGAGGTACCAGAGAGGGATTTTCTTTTTCTTTTTTTTAACACCATTCAAAATCAACATACTCATACAAATTTGCTCCCGTAAAAAACGTTTTAATTGTAAGTATTATATTTATACTTTCTTTAAAAGTATTTTTGAAAGCTCATGGAACTAGCTGCTGTCAAAGTGAAAGAGAAGAAAAATATAGAATAAGAAATAGATGCTACATTGAACCAGACTTTCATTTATTTTTTAAATCTGTTACATGTGCATCTATTTATTTTAACATGAAATTAATTTTTAAAATAACTTGAATTTTATTTTTTTTTTCCGGTAATAATGATCATAGATTTAAATAAAATAAAATAAAATGAAATTTAAAAAAAAATTGTTTCGTCTTATTTTTGTTGTTGCCACTTCCGATGTAAGTACTTGAAAACAAACAAAAACTACCGAATGAAATAAAATTGTTCTAATTGTTCTAG